GGGGTCCGCCGCTCGGTTCCCCCCCGGTGTGAGGGCTCGCTGCCCGGCCTGCCACCTCGGGGGGCGTGTTGTGTTCGGGGCAGCCCGGGGAGCGGCGCTGGCCTGTGGAGGGGGCCTGAAGACGACCTCGGCCTTGCCGCAGGCGCCGCTGGCTGCAGGGGGCTGGGCTGCCCGCATCTGCGGGCGGGGAAGGCCGGTAGGCGCTCTGCCCTGAACTCATCGGCTGCGTTAAGATTAAGTGGAATCCGTTGTTTTATCGAAAGTCTGTCCTTTTACCACGTACGCTTCCCGTTTTCGGAGCGACTTGGAAGAAGGGATGCGTGGAGGCATAGGTTTCCTTTAAAGGCGCTTGCTTTATAATGGGCACAAGGTGCAAACAGTTCTTAAGCATTTGGGAAAACCCAGCGTTTTGTTCTGCTAGTTTTAGCAAAAAAGAAAAAAAAAGTCCCGAAGATGTGTCAGAAAATAAATATAAACAGAGCTGTCATTTCTGGAGGGGTTGACTCGGTCACAAAATCAGAATTGGACTGCTTATGTTGGTCCTGTATAAGTCACATCTGCAGGCTTTATCCTACAAGCATTTAGGCACTGAAGTAATTTCACTTACATGAGTAGTCACAATAAAATAAGCAATGCTATTTATAAGTTAGGTGCATAGTGATTGTAAAATTTAATTGGTAGTATACAGTCATGCACTGTCGTGTCTTCATTTGGAGGATGACATGCAGTGATGTACTTGAAATTTTGGGAGTTTTCTTTGTGAGAGGAGTTTATTGAACAGTCAGATAGTACAATCAGGAAAAAAGGTTTCACAGCCCATCCTGGAACAACTCTGAAATGAAGACACATTAACAAAGAAACTGCATATCGAACAGAAAAGCAGACATGCAAATACATACAGAAAATAACAAATTAAAAGTGATACAATTTAGAAAATTGATAAAGGACACTCTCCCTTTACTAGTTAAGTTAAACAGTTTCAGGAAATGCCACATTAAAAATTGATTCCCGTTACCACTCTACTGCACTAGTGGTCTTGCAAATGTTTACCATGCATGGCGTTAGCATGGGCCACAGGCCATTCCCAACACGTAACCTGGATGGAGCCAGCTTGGTTTCGAAGGCCATCCTCTCTCAGTTGGCCGCCGTCCCAGAGAATGGTCTAAGGCCGGCTAACCTGTACCATCTCAGCTGGCAAAATCTGCACTAGTCAGGTTTATCTAGAGTCTGAATTTCATGTATGAAACAGCTTAACAGACTTGCTTTTGTATATAAATTTTCCAAATGAGTGACTTTTCCATGGCTGTTGCTGGATTAAAAACCGGATTTCTCAGTTTCTCTTACTACTGGTTTGTTGGTGGTTTGGGTTTTTTTTTTACATAATGCTAAAAACTGTGATTTACACTACATAGCTTTTTTTTTAATTGCAAGTATGAAAATGAGTGCCTCATTTATAAAACTAAATGTCGAAGCAGCAGTGAATGGCTGGCTTTCTAAATAAGCCCAGGAGACATACAGACCCAGAAGACTCAAGTGGCAATGTAGCATAATTTCAGGACATGATGTCATAGGATGTTCTTCTATAAGTTGCCCAGATCTGCAGTCACACTCCAACTCTAGATGTTGCCCAAAATGTAAAAAAAAGTGAAATACTGTAGATTCAATACCACTAAAAAATGCTACAACAAAGTCTTTTCCATGCTTTTGTGTCACAACACGGATAACAAGATCAAATCTCAGTACTCTTTGTATCAAAGGAGCAAAGCAATAATGCCTCTAACCAGAGAGAACGTAGATGCTAAGATCCAACAACTTATGACACAGAATATATCTGCTCTAAAAAGAAAAATAAGTACTTCAAAGGACAAAGAGCTCATGATGTGCTGGTTATACCTAATACTCTTTGTCAGATATACAGATGCGAAATGCTGCAAAGAAAAGCACAACGGGATGTGCTGTGGCTAGAGAAGCTTATCGCCAGAGCTGTTACCATTTGTATACAAAAGTGAGGAGGACAAAGAAAGGTTATGCAGAAGAATGTGTAAGCAATTGTCCAGAGCCTGAGTACTCCGAAAAAGCATGTCAAGGAATGTTTGCATTCACAAGGATGTTTGCATTTGCATCTTTGCTTGCCCTGAAGTAATAACAATAGCTAACCTCACAGCAGGATTAATTGCATGAATGATTCACAGAAAATAATAAACGCAAGATTCAGTCAAGATGGACATTTCATGCAGACTGGGCATCAGCTTTAAGAAGAAACATCCATGAGGTTAAAAAATACATTTGCCATGGGTAGTTTAGTGTTAAAGAGGGAGATGAAATAGCAAAGATCAAAGAAAACAGACATACTAGCAGTTTGAGTGGAGCAACCTAACAGATGACAACTGACATCAAAGTACAAGGGACTGGTGAGCTGTGGCATCTTGAACACTGAAATTTTGTCAGGATTAAATAAATATACCCGCTTTTGTCAGATACTTTCTTTGCACAGTATTAGCAGGACAAAAGAGACTAAGTCTAGCCATCACAGCACAGCAATTGGCGAGGACTTTGGCCAAAACTGTTCAGCAAACAAAGGAGGTGAAAAATGTCCTACCAAAGCATAAATAAGTATCTTGCAAGACACAACAGATGAGTTGATATAAGAATTTAATTTTTAAGTCAAATTTCAAATCATGAGAGTTAACGTTGGAGAGAAATGTGTCCCTTAGCCAGGCAAGCCTCATCAAATCCTTGGTCTCGGAACAGAAAAAAACGTATACATGCTGCAGAGACTAACTGCCCTTTAATGTTCTCTGTTGTGTATGAACACTTGTAGACAACCTCAGGCTGCTGTGGGAGAACTGAGCTTCTCAAATTATCTCATAAAAGGCAGATGTGGTATTGTGCAGGCCTCAAACATTGGGTACAAATCAGTCGCAATTACTCCTGAAGATAAACATACTCTCATAGACTGTCTTGGGTTTAGCAGCCATGTATATTTTCCCTGGAAAGTTGGAACAATAACAAAGACAATATTTGTCAGCTTTAATAAAGTAGTATACTCTCTTGGAGCTGACTGCAGAGCACTGCTTAGCATGTATGCCTTTCTGGGGTACAATTCTCTTTACGGTAAATGAAAAGCTAGAAGCCAAAAATTGTGATAAAGGGAGCACAGCTATCAAAGATCTTTCTTGAAGTTTGGGTGCTTTCACCAGATCTTTCTAAAGAATTTTGCAGAATTTTTTATGCCATTTACATGTTCCAAAAAAGGTAGTAACTGATAAATGCTGCTATCAGCTGTTCTGTGCCGGAACAGATTTGACAGCAGCCAGATTGACTGCAGCTATGCAAAGACAGTGTATTCCTGCATCAACAGCATTCAAAATATCAAACCAGAAATTGGAAAAAAATACTTGCATGTGAAGGTACCTACCAGTCCTACAAATCCAAAGGGAGTTTGGACATGGAGTGAGTGGATGAATCACCAGCACCCAAAGCTATCCTGGAGCTACTTCTGCTAAATCAAAGATGGCAATAGGAAGGAAAAAGTATGTGCAGAAATATTGTGCCAATATGCGAAGTTTTCAAAGAACTATTTATATTAGTCTTAAAAGAAAAAGCTCAGATGGGATTCAGATATGAAGCTATAAAATTAAACTGATGATAATCAACAGGATTTGGTGTAAAATCGCCAAAAAAACGTGATAAATTGTTTGAGGAGTTCTCTAGTTTGGCTGGGAAAATGCTGCAGAATAAATAGACTTCTTTGCTTTAAAATATCACAGTAGGCTATAACCCTGAGCACACATTGAAGGCTTTGAGAACTGGCTAAATGACAGTTCTCAGTAAAAAGGTGATAAGTGAAGAGTGATGATTTAAGGGACCAGTTTCTATTGGATTTCAAGTGATACCACTGGCTGACTCTTTGCTATTTGATACTCAAGCAGTGTTGAAATAAATATAAAAATCGCCGCAGATCGGATGACATAAGACTAGCAAAACAATCCCATATGGATGGGACAAGCTGGCAACCTGAACAACAAACAGAAATGCACTTTAATGCAGCCAAACATAAAGTTATACATTTAAGAACAGAAAATGCAGGCAGGTTTCTGTACACTGAAAGGACTGTCAGGGATACCGTGGGCATGCAGGTTGACATGAGCTCCCAGCAGGACACTGTGGCAAAAGACTTAGTACAATCTTCGAGTTGAAAACAGAGGTCTGAAAAGGGGGAGTAGGGAAGTGATTTGTCCCTTCTTCTGGTGCTGGAGAGACAGATGCAATGTTGCCAGAGAACAGCTCTAGCATTTACATTTTTTACGTATTTACGAAGTGGACTGTATGAAATAGCCACAAAAATTATTTGAGATGAAGAGTTTATTCTTTTCATCTGCGTGAGACCTATTTGAAATGTCCAAGTTAGGTTTAAGACAAAAATTGTGAGGAGTCTTGATTACTGTATGTCACTACTGTAATGATGAGATAAAGCAGAGATTTAGTGGGCAGCATAAGGGAGGTTCATTACGGGGTCCCTGCTCTGAAGTTGGCTCTAGCCGAGAGAGCAGGATGCCATAGCATGCCCATCCTGTGGTTGCACAGCTCCCTTTAATCCCCCCCTAGTCAGCTGGGAGTTGGCTTCACCCCCAAGGTAAACTTTGCTGAAATTTTGTTCAGGATGGATGTAAAGAAGCCACTAACCTCCTTTATGTAGCCATGAGCTCAACAGTCACTCCACCCCACCAAAAAAAAAAGCACAAGTCGCCCCCACCCCTTCCAGCCAGATGGCAAGGCTTGAGCGATGCTAAACCCCATTTTCAGACAGGTTTCCCGGGGGACAGAGGCTGAAAACAAGATTTGGTCATTAGTTGGTGGAAGTGTATGCAAGCGGAACAGCAGGAGTAGAAATGCTGAGATGAAGCAGCACTGTAATATAGCCAGTGATATTAAGGCCCTGAGTAAGTGCCAAGGAGATAGAGCTTTTATAGAGCTTTTAGACCAATGGCCTCTTAAAAACAAAAAAAAAACCCCTGAAAAACCCTAAAAAAACCCAAAACCCAAAAGCTTGAGCTGTGTGAAAATAAAGAAAAAGCTCTGATGTATGATACTTCCGAGTTCAGAAAAACTGGACTTTTTTTTTTTTTTTAATAAACATCTCTTCAAAGGTACAGGACTCCCTTATCAATTCTTTCTTTTAACAGTTAACTCTGGGCAGCAAGCTGGGAAAAAACAGCAACAGTATCTCCTCAAGAAGAAAAAACTGGGTACTGAATGGCTTTTTCGTGAAGAAAGATGTAACAGGATCAAATATCTAACAGGTTAAACTAGAGAATCACTGAAACAAATTCCCAGTGGCAGTAAACAGAACTCTCTTGATGTCTTCTGACTGAGGCTGGATGCTGTTCTGGAAGATATGTTTTAGTAAAAACACAAGCTGTGCTTCACTGAAACTGACAAGATTAGGGCTTTAATAAAAAATATGTGCATAAAACTTGAATTGCCAGTACTATACAGGATGTTGGACTACATGATGTGATCATAAACTGCACGGTTTTGGTTTTTGCTGTTCGCTTTCAAGTTAGATGTATCTGCTCCTGAAGGCTCAGTTTCCACGTGGAAGTCCAGCTGACCCAGCCCAGAACCTGCTTCAGGCTCTGTGTGACAGGCAGTGGAGCAAGAGTGTCTGTAGCTACAGCAGTTTTATCTCCTCCTACCTCATGCACTGTTTTTTTAGCCTGTATATTTATATTTGTATACGCATATATGCTTTTAGCTTTCCCTTATCGTGATACGGAATACTCTCCAGCTCTGTAACTCTACCCTCCGCCAAACTGCAAAAAATGTACT